ATGTATATTGCATTGAAACAGATGAGGGAGAAAACTGTTCAAAAGGGATATGTGATTAGGTATTTTTATCATAATGGAAGTCCAGAGCGAAGGTTGCATAGTGGAGTGGACCTGGGGGGAGGGATTGTAAAACAATGAAAGAATTTTTCTTTTACTTTTCCAAGAGGGTAGTGTACTGGGGGGGGAGGGTTGGGAGGGGAGAAAAGTGTAACAATGATTGAATGGACATCCAAAGTCTCTGTAAATTTTCATTGAAATTAATAATAATTTTTTAAAAATACTCAAAAGATATGCCATAAAAAAATTCCAATAGGGTTAAAAGAAAACTTATTAACTGAGAACAAACATTTGGTAATAACAGCTCAGACAAGAATCTCATAACGAAAGTTTACAGAATACTCCTGGGCCTCGACAAGAAAAAGACTGATAACCCAATTACAAAAAGGAGAAAAGACATGGAAAGCATTTTCACAGAGGAAGATATTAGAATGACCAACAGACACATGAAGAAATGCTCCAAATCAATGGCAATAAGAGATACGCAAATCAAAACCACAATGAGATAACCATATCACTCCATTAGCAGTGGCAACGTTTAACAGGACAGCAAGTAATAAAAGTTGGAGAGGTTGTGGCAATATAGGACCTTTTTTTTTTTTTGTTGTTGGTTCATAAGGATCATGTTGTATAATTTTGTATCTCCAGATTAGTTCAAACACCCTTAGTGAGTAATCTGCCCTTTGATAAACCTCCTAACTTTAGACAGATAAAACCAAAGTCTCAAGACACACAAACAAAGTCATTAAAATGATTATGCAAAGTACAGTTTGCATGACTTTCACTTATCTGTGGAAAACTGTCCTGAAGTCACACTAGGAGTGACTCCAGTGTAAATGAGAGGTTGTATCAAACACAATGAATGTGAATTAAAAGCAATGTATATGGATTATTGTTTCAAAACCAATAAAAATAATAAAAATCTAAAATACTAAACAATCGGACAAAAGGAACAGGTTTTAGTAAGGTTGGAAAGAGTTCTACCAGGAAATAATATATATATCAGGATTCAGATCTGCTGTTTATAGGGTTGCTATGAGTTGTACTTGACTCAACAGAACCTAACAACAACAATAATCAGATAATGTCTTAAAAATAGTGCAGCCAGACTGGTCATTGGAGACAAAGGTAATAAAGCTCTATTTCTCATACTTTTGACATGTACATGTGGTGAGGAGAAATTGTTCTTTAAAAAGGGAGATCATTGGAAAGATGGAGGGTCAGTTAAAGAGAGGAAGACCTCCATCGAGTTGGATTGACACAGTGACTGCAGCAGTGGGCTCTAGTGTGCCAGAGACTGTGAGACTGGTACAGGATCGGATAGAGTTCACATTTGTTGTTCATAGGGTCACTGTGAGTTTACTCAACTTGATGGCACCTAACAGTGACAACAACAATCGGATAATAAGCTGATGATATTCTTATGCTGATGGTATGTTGTTGTTGTTGTTAGGTGCCATCAAATCGTAGATGACTCAAAGCCACTCTATGAATGAAAGGCCTGAGTACTGTATGTACATAGAGTTTCTGGAGGCAAGCCATTTCTGAAGTGGATGCCGCTCCTGCTTCTAGGCTTGTTTTAGTCGGGAAGCTCCAGAAAACACTGTCCACCATGGGTAACCATTATCACGTTTGGCACATCAGTGTCCCAGTGTTCAGCATCACAGCAACCACAAGTTACCTCTCTACAGCAATGCACAGACCAGTGCTATACCACCTAGAAGAATGTATGACAGGAAAACCATTTGAACCTGGCCTGAGGACCGCAGATTAAAATCACTCACCTTCAGCTTGGTAGCATAACTTTCTGTCCACTAGGCCAATGTAGCTCTCTCTATGTTGTCGTTGTTATTGTTGTTAGGTGGCGTCGAGTCGTAGACGACTCATAGTGACCCTATGAATGAAAGGCCTGAGCACTATTCATACATAGAGTTTCTAGAGGCAAGCCATTTTGGATGCTGATGGTATAGGAAACAAAAATTATGGTTCAAAACTTAAAAAGAGAGTGTGTCAGAATGTATCCTTCCCCATAACTTTTCAACCTATATGTTGATCAGATCATTCAGGAGACTGGACTTCATGAAGAAGAATGCAGTATCCATTGTTGATGGAATTGTACAAATAATACAACCACTCTGGAACGCAGTTTGACATTTCCTCAAATAGAAGTTTCTTATGATCCAGCTATTCCACTGCTTAGAGTATACCCCGAGAAAAACAAAACTGAGACACAAACGGAGACTTGTACAACAATATTCATAGCAGCATTATTTATCATCGCATGAACATGGAAGCAGCCAGATGTCCAGCCACAATCCAATGGCTTGAGAAATTTTGGTACATTTACACAATGCAATACTATGCGGCATACAGGAGCAATAAATTTGTAAATTATTACCTAATTTAGGAGGGACTGGAGAGCATTATGCTAAGTGAGTTAACTCAGCCCGAAAAGGACAAATATTGTATAAAATCCAAGTGAGGGGAGTGGAGGCAGAGGGGTAAGGATTAATCATGGGGTTGCACAATTTGATGGGTGGAGGAGTTAGGGAAATGAGAAGGAACTGCTGTGAAAAACAATGTATTCTAATTTTGTAAATAAACTAGCATAATGATAATAATAATAAAACTCAAACAAACAAAAAGTGTGTGCTCTGATTTCAACTTTTTTTTCTTAATGGTACTGAATTTTACCCCTCTCTGCTCACTTTGTTCTCCTTTTATTCCATGTGAGAGAAAAGATATTACAGATAACACCATGGAATAATAATGGAAACTACATGGGATCAGTACTCAAATGGGATTAATATGTTACATACCATCCTTAATCCTTTTCTGACTATTTGATTTATTAGATCATAGGGGAATTACTACATAACTTCCATATTATATATATCATTACATATGCATATTTTGAAGGCATGTAATTCAATCCTTTACACACAGTGTTTTTTCCTTCATTATGTTTCCACTGTATCTTGTAAATAACTTTAGTTACAGTATTTATAAGACTGTATTACAATCACTTGAATAGAGATCTACTTATCCCTCAGTATCTAGTGCAGCACTTAGGACCCAGTAAGTGAATAATAAATGCTTTATGAAAGAATGAATAAAACAAACCAAATATTGTATCAGGAAAGTAAATGTAGTTTATTACTGAAGTCCACCAATGGTTAGATAATTCATTAAATTCAGGGCACATCAATCATTATTTCTTTTGGTTAGAAAAAGAAGCTCTTAAGGCTATTGTTGTGTGTTATCAGGTCAGGATCTACCCATAACTCACCCCTTAGAGCAGATTTTCAAAGGCAGTAAATGACATGAAAGGAGATTGTCCTCATAGCAGCTGCTGGATTCAAACCATGGGTCTTTGGGTTGGTGATGTGGTTCCTTATCATTAGGCCATCAGATCTCCCTGAGCAGTCTAAAAAGCAGTCTAGGTTTTGAAATATGAAGAAGTTTCTTTTTTGGTGTGGGAGAGAATTGATGTGACACAGGCAGATCTCCCGAGAAAGGAAAAGACATACTACTGAGGCACACTTGGAATATAGCTTGTTGTAATGTAAATAGACAATAAATTATATTCTGTGCAATATAGACTGATACTATCCATGTTGCATTACCAAGGCCTATCTAGAATATATAAGCTTGAAAATTCATCTTCAAAAACTCTAAATTCCTTCTGAACTGCAGTTTAACAAATCAAGGATGAAAGGGAGGCAAGCATGTTTTGATTCTAGTAGGCTGACTAATAACCTTACCTAAGCTGGAATAAATGTGGCTGAGAATACGAGCTGGCTGTACTCTGATGGGATGCACCTCAGCAATGGTCTCCACATCAATTCCCTTTTCCTTCAAAATGGCCTTGATCTCTTCTGTCTCTGCAAGAATTGAAACTATAGAAAATAAAATAAGATTATGTCAAAAGATTTTTTTTCTTTTTCCAATTGGACTCTAAGAGCTACAAAGCGACAATTTTCCTGAAAGGGAGAAAATAAAATAGAAGACATTAACAATAACTGAGGAAGCCTGAAACAGTTACTGTGTTAGGTACTAATGAAAATTAATTTAAATGGAAAGGAAAAATAATCTCAAAAGTGAAGTACAAAATTCTATTTTTAATATTGCTATTGTTGTTAGATGCCTTTGAATTGACCACAACTCATAGCAACGGCATGAACAGCAGACCTGAACCCTCCTGTATTCTGCATCATCCTTACCATTCCTGATAGGCATGCGCCCATTGTTACAGCCACTCTGTCACTCACTCCATCTTATTGAAAGTCTTCTTCTGTTACACCGACCTTCTACCCTTTCAAGTATGATGTCATTCTCCAAGGACTGCTTTCTCCCCACAACATGCTCAAAGTGAGATGAAGTTTAACCATCCTTCCTTTAAGGAGCACCCTGATTATATCTTTTCCAAGACTTATTTGTTTGTTCTTTTAGCTATTCAGTACTCTTCTCCAACACAGCAACCGGAAGGCATAAATTCTTCTTCAGAAGGATATGTAACTTTTAGAGGCATAGGAAGTAACTGAAAAGACCATGCTGCTCCTCATCACTTTGGAGAGGTCCTTAACAGCAGACTTTCCTAACACAACAAATATTTAATTTCTAGACTGCTGCTGACAAGAGTGTTCATTATGGATCCAAGCAAGAAGGAGGACTACATACATGTCAGGGATTCCATTTGTAAATAGGTAATATCAGTCATGATAAGTGATGTATTATTGTTAGGTGCCAGTAAGTTGACTGACATTCATAGAGACTCAGTGAGCAACAAATAGAAATATTGTCCTATCCTATACCACTCTCATAATTTTTAACATGCTCAAGTCCCTTGTTACAGTTAATCTATCTATCTCATTGAGGAGATTTCTCTCTCACTGACTTTTCCCAGCAAGAGGTCATTTTCCAAGAACCAGCCCACCTTAATAAAATATCCAAAGTATGTGAGACCTTTGCTATGCAATTGGTAAAAGTTGGTTCCCCAGTACAGGGTCAGGAATGTGATAGCAATAAAAAACACTGAATGATTAAGAGATAATGGTGATAAAGGAGGAAGCTTCGGCTTCTTTGAAAGACTTGACAAAAAAGAAATCCCCAGAATTGATGGAATACTAGTTGACATAAGTCAACAAATAGATCCTACCAGGTTGTGTCAAGAAATCTGGAGGACAACTACCTGGCCAACTGACTGGAAGAGATCCTTATTTATTTCCATTCCAAAAACAGATGACCTGATATGTTGTTGTTGTTGTATGTGCCGTCGAGTCGCTTGCGACTCATAGCGACCCTATGTACAACAGACCTAAACTCCACTCTGTCCTGTG